ATAGCGTATCTCTTCGTCTTCAAAGTCACATTTTAGTGAAATTAAAATTTTTAATAATAATAATAATATTTTATGACAATCACTCAAAAGGCAATTCAATGATGATTACAGTGCTATATATGTTATTTTTTTATGACAGAATACACATACTGTATGATTACATTTAACACATAATTTCCTTTATAACATATTTGTGTTTAACGTGTTATACATTTGATGTGCTATAAAGTGGTATAACGTGTATAACATATAATATATCAATCAAATGAACTTTAATTTTAGATTTCTATAAATTTTCCTACAATAAAAAAGTGACATTATTTAATACAAGCGTTTGGGAAACGGCTTTCATACACATCAAAAAATAATTATTTAAAATCAGTTTTAGTTTAATATTATTAAAATATTTTACTTAAGCTATTTTAGTATTCTATACTCCAATAAACCATGGTAAAATATGGTATAAGCATATAGTATATATTTAAATATCCATATATAGCTAGCCAATTTATCTATTTAATTTATTATCACTTTACAATACATCTATTTTATTAATAATTTATTAATTTTATGAAGTTAAAATATTTAAATAAACATTTACTTACTTTGTTATAAATTATGGTAAATATTTATAATTAATAAATAAACACAATTAAAAAATAATCAATTACTGCTTTAAATTTGTTGTAATTCAAAACACGACAAGATTTGGTCAGTTTCTCAATAACTTTGTTTTTATAAAAATATTGGTCTCGATATTTGGGTCAATTTTTTAGTTTATTTATTTTGATGATTTACACCTAGTGTAGTAGTTTTAATGCAATTGATCCGGGTGTTAATCCGATCTTAAGATATGATTAGCTTAAACCTATTTAGACCGGATTTAGATTTACCTCATTTACTTACTTAACACTTTACTACTCATGAATAATAAACAAATATTGGGAATATTAACTATTTATAGACACTTAAAAAGTGTTTGATTAACCAAAACATATGAATAGATATACAGTATAATTAATATTAGACTAGAATAAAATATAATATAATTAAAAATGTTTATCAAATAATAATAAGTTTAATGAAAACAAAAACAATCAAAACCTACAGAATATTCTGTGAAATGTACGGATAGTATGAGAATCGGACGTAATGTATGTGAGTGTATGAGTAGTGCAGTGAAGACACCACTTGAATGTAATGTTTATGTTTTGTATTGTTTTACGAAACCATTTCTTATCAATTGAACAGTTATTGTCACCCAAACGGGTCCCGAAGTGATGCCCATCACAGATGATGTCCAACTGCCCACATATGAAGAGCTCGACGTCCAGGAGATCAATATATCGCATCCGGTGATGAAGGCGTCGGCCATGCATTTCGGCAAATATTGCGATAAAGTTTCAAAGGTTTGCGACCAATGAGTTTGGGATCAGCTGTTGATCAGTGATTATGCGGTGATTATAATGACCTATGCTTTCGGTCGACACAGGAATTCATGTTATGTCGCATCGAAGAGAGGGATCCGCGAAAGTGTATACCGGAGGGGAAGGCCGTCACCTCTTGTGGTCTCGATTTCTATCGTCAGGTGAAGCAAAACTGTCGAAACGAATTGGAAAAGTTGTCCAAATGTATGGAATGGACTGATTATGACCTCAAGTTCTGGTAGTAAGTGTCCACTCATTGTCTCATATCAATAGCATAGAGACTAATGGCATGTGTTGTCTGGTTTGGATCAGTTGTCGCAAAGAGCAGGGACTGTACGACCAGTGTATGAGCGAGAAGATGGGTATCGATCGGCCGCCGTTCGGCTACTTTACTCAGGTTAGGGTTCACGACACGGCGCGACCGCAACCCTCCCCAACAGCGCCCGAATTTAAGGACCGCACCATCGGTTTGCCCGAAGACTTCCCGGTCGAGGAGTCGAAGTACGGGTGGAGGCACTGGTGGTTCTTCTGAACACATCCATCACTATTTGATTATTAGATTCAATTCTTTCGGTAGTTTTGTTTTTAGTTGAGATATAATTAGGAAATTTATTGTAACAAATATTCTACTATTGTTTAGGATTTAAATTAATTAAAAGCAGTTCTTGTGCTTAAAAGACAAACATATGTTTTTATGTTAAGACATAAATTTTACGATTAATTTAATCATTTATATTTGAAAACAAGTGCTAAAAAAGGCGAGTAATTGATTATAAAATGTACGTTAAGTGCGAGTTATGTGAGTCCGATGTGCTCTAAGTTTTGCATTATGATCATTGTGTGGACGTTCTCGAAGACACGCTTTATATTGTTGGTGTCGGTGGCGGTCGTGAAGTGACAGAAACACTCCCGCTTTTTATCATGAATGGAGTTTTGGTTAACATAGTTGGAAGTACTGAACTTCCTGTGATCCGGCGGTTTGCGAGTGATCTCTAGAAACATTTCGCGTATAAAACAGCGCGCCTTTAAGTACGGGTCGTTTGGGTCGCCGTCTTTGGCAGACATGACATAATTGTCGTATTCGGCGAAATAGTTGACTATTTTAGAGCCCCTTTCGATCTTCTCTTTGAGTACATCCTGTTTGTTGAGGAATAGTATGAAACCGGAATCGATCAGGAATTTGCTGCTCCAGACGTCTTCGAACAGTGACAGCGACTCTCGGAGTCGATTCGTCTGATTGTCTTCTCTAAGATTGGTGTCAAATCCAGAACTCGCCACTAAAAACAGTATAGCGGTTATGCCGTCAAACACTTGTATCCATTTGCGTCTCTCCCCTCTCTGTCCTCCGACGTCAAACATCCTGTTTTGTTAAACATATGTATAATTCATTGAATTTATTGTTGAAAATATAAATTATTAATTCAACTCAACGACAGTCTCACCAAAACATTTGAGACCCGCCTCCGAATTGAAGCGGAACTTTCACTTCGAATTCAATTCTCTGTATTTCACTCGTCCTCTTACGACAGTTCAATACGTCCTGATCTGACGGCTTATAGTTTTCACCACGTATTACATCGATTTTATCCAAAAAACTTATTTTATAATCAAATAAAACAATTAATATTTATTCATTCGTGGAATGAGAGAGAGAGAGAGAGAGAGAGAGAGAGNTAATTTATATTTTCAACAATAAATTCAATGAATTATACATATGTTTAACAAAACAGGATGTTTGACGTCGGAGGACAGAGAGGGGAGAGAGAGAGAGAGAGAGAGACTCACTATTTTGCACAATCAATTAAAGTGAATTCATTGGATCTGCGGTATGACTCTTGTACTCCGGGGTCATTCCAGAGACGTTTAACGTGATCGTAGAACTCTTCCGGGTAATGATAGTTGGCTGCGGTAGACATATCCAGATTATGTACAAAGTCTAGACTCTTTTGGTTATTATTGTTGCATAAAGTTATCGGAGGCTTAAGGTATGGCATATTCTCTGTCAATTCCTATGAAAAACATTTAATTAAAAAAAATATTTAACTTTAAACCACAAAATTTAAATAACACATACGAAAGGCAACGAAATTTCATAATTAATAGTAATTTCTATTAATATCTAAATTAACTAAATTAAAAGCAATAAGAATGAATGCTCAATTTTATTATAACTGATAAGTTTCCATATAAAGCTTTAAATAAAACTGAATTTTTATTGAAATTTCAATAATATTTAACTTTATTAAACAAGTTTTGTGCTTATTCTATAAAGTGTTTTTGTTAACTGGATTAGTACTTAGAATTAGATTGTTACTTGTTAGTTATATAATCAACTTAATAATCAAATACAAGTTTAGATGTACTGTAAAGGTATAACAGAATTGTGATAGAAATCACAACATAAACCATTCATTACTGATAGTTGTTGTTAGAAATGTAAATGAAGTTATTTATAAATCTTAAAGCAAATTATGTTGTAATAAAAGTATTAAAGTATCTGTATTATAATTCACTTACTTTAATGGCTTCTAATAAATTACATCTGATTTCATGGACTTTCTCTTTCCTTTCACTATCAGAAAAGCCTTCGATGTGAAGAATTTTCATTTGTTTAATGATTGTAGTCTTTCCGCTCTCACCGGCGCCTGTATTCACAAAATACACACTAATTATTAGCTATTCTTACAATTTTCACAATTAATACCTAATAAAAGCAATTTAATAGACTTCTTGTATTGTTTCATCCAAACGGCTATTTTCTTATCCAATTCATTACTAGCCCTTCGGTTCGGATCGTTGTTATTAAAGAAAGGACACCAAAGGGATGGCATCTTTTCACTGCAAAATATATATTAAAATTTTCATATAATTGAACAAAAATTGTTATAAAAAAAAGTTCAAAACAAATATTACAGAAGTTATTAACACAATAACCAAATTACAAATAAGTTAGTGGTTTTTGGGTGGAAATCGTGTGAACGGCAAGTACTACCACTTCAGTGAATACAGTGCACTGTATTGTTGATGAGAATCTAGTTTACACTTCATTCACAAGTACTTTATTTGCTGAATATTTTACTATAATTTTTGTAAATCTAATCATTGTTTCTAACATAAGAAATGATGTCTATTTTATGATCAGTTTTATCAAAGTTTAGTCATTACACTCCACTTAAAAAACATTAATTTCTATTTAGATAATTATTATATAAAACTTGTAACCATTCTTATAGTAGTGTAAGACCAATGTCGAGATATTTATAACAATACAGTCAACCTATTCTCTACACGATATGATTCATACATTATATGTACAGATATTGGAATATACAGAATATATCAAACAATAGATTAATTCATTTGAATTGATTTAGAAAATTACAAAAGCGTAAAATTCTTGATTTGTGTTATAGTATTATTAATGGGTTGTAACTAATGAATGAGAATTTAAACTCAAATTTAATTAAATAACACAAATTTAATATCATTTACAAAAGAAACAAGGTTTACACAGCGATTCTATACGTTAACCACAATTCGGGTATTACTCAAAGAATAGATTAGCACTATATATAGATTTAATATTAGTCTTATAGCATTGCCCATGGGATTAACATTTTCCTTTGACTTAGAACTTCTCATAGAATTAGCATTAGTCCATAGACTTAACATTAGCCCATAGACTTAACATTACCCATAGGATTACCATTGCCATAGACTTAGCATTACCCATGTTAACCATAGCTGTAATCCCATAGAAACCCATATAAACGCTTTTTCCCTTAGAAAAAGTGCTCCCCGTATTATTCTATGAGAATCTCCCCATGTTAAAGTATAGCCATAGGATTAACATGGTATCCATGTTAAATCCCATAGGGTGGGGGGAGGGGGCGAGCGATCCTATAAACCACATTATTCAATTCTGAATTGTTATTAAAAATTAATATATGTTATAATTAGTATTGTCAAAAAATATTGCTTACATTTAATTCATATAATGCTGTGGATTATAAATGAAACAAATGTGTAATTTTAATTCAACAATGTGAATCAATTTAAAAACTGCTAACAAGTTTATGTTTACGCAAAACACATAATTAACACGTTTTAAAATGATTTATAATGACTTATATAGAAAATAAACTATAATGATCGTACAATTTTGTGTTAATAAACTAATTCACATCAAAGCAACTCTTATTGTAATGAACCTAACGTTACATTTAACTCACTATAACGTGATAATTGCACTAAAAATGATATAATTTATTACAGCATTGCAATTGTTGTTAAATTATATCATAGAATAAAAATATTTTAACAAAATGATGTGATTTCACAGTGTATTAGATCTACAGTAAATTAGTTAATGAACTATTTATTTAGTAATTGATAAACATTTACCGGTAATTTAAATCTAATCAAATATGTGTCTGAATATCTGCAAAGATGTGTTTATGATCACTGCTATCATTGATAAGATGTAGAAATATTTCAGATATAGCAATAGATATTCACTCAATGTTTAAACCATTTTGTTTTAAAATAAAATATTTCATCGAAAATATATATTTTTCTATTCAAATAAAGCGGTTGTAATTAAACAATCGATGAGTTTATAAAATAAGATTAAATAAGAGTTAAACATAACTCTATAATTACCTGAATTTTAAGATATATTGTTTGACAAGAATAACAAATGTTTGTTCGGATGAGATAATAAAAAAGGTAAATCCAAAAAATTGTTTATAAAATTAATAACTAATCAAAAACATTAACATTAAGTGCACATTAAAAGCATAAAATGTAACCACAAATCCCCCACACAATCAATTAATTACAAATTCATCGTACAATCAATTTCTCATTAGTGTCTCAATATAGACCTATTGAGCGCTGGAATGCAATCATATAATTGATTGATAGCGCAAACAAAGCAATACACCGTTAAAACCAAGTTATCTCTTATGAGAAACTGTCGCTCCAAACACTCCAAAGGGAGTCAAAGTACACAAAACATTAAACAATATCTCATTTGTTTTATATTGTATTTGATTTATAATTTTTAGTGCAACTATAATTACCGACAAATGTATTACATTATAATATAGAGCAACGAATGCTTAATATAGAAATAAATGAAGTATATTTAATCAAAACATTAATAAATTACATAATAATATAAAAAGTTTCTATGGTTTCCATAATCTATCTTAAGAGAGACCACTTGAGCTGTTCTCTCGCCGATTGCAACACTTGGGCCACAGTTTGTTCGCCTAATGGGATGTCATCGGGCTTTAAGGCCACGCGCTGTACCACAGCTAACGGATCCGATTCTAAGATAATTCTGTATCGAAAGTAAACAAATAAAGCACTCATTAGTAAACATTGAATGATTGGGTTAAAGAAGTGGACATATCATACCCTCCGTCGCAAATCTCATCCAAAGCCAGGATAACAATATCCAAGTTATCCAAAAGATTGCGTTTCTCTACATTTTTCTTCAGTATATGAGATATTGACTCAAATAAACAGTTCATAACAGACGCTAATATTAACTATAAGTTAGAGAAACAGTTAATTATTCATTAATATAAGAGATTAAGCAAAGACTGACTCCATTCTCGTTAGAACTGCCCATAACGTAGAAGAAGAGGTCAACAGAGCTCCGGTAGACACACGTGAGGCCGTCCAACATAATGATCTCGGCGTTGGCTCTATGGGTCTTATTGAACAGATTCCTCTCAAACGCCTTCTGCTCTTTCGTTGTGCCGAAAGTGTCGTCAAAATACTGCAAACAAATCAATACTTTCTGTCAATTCATTCATTTCAATGTAAATCACATATAAAATCATTCATTCATTTCATTGTCAAAATAGTCTTCATGTTTAGGACATTGAGTTACTCTTGAGTGAGAATCTCATCACTTAATCATTGCTTTTGCATTCATTTACCGGCAATTCAATCATTAGTTACACTATTAAACAACAATTCACATGTCATGCAATCAATCAATGGTCACTTCTATTACATCTAACAAAGAGTTCACAACTCAACTCTTGGATTCATTAAGTGATGTCTTAACTATCCATGAAATCAATGTATGAGACAATTGTGTGGACAAACCTTCGCGAGTATTCGGTTGCCGTCGTTGTCTAATATGGCCATCGCTTTCACCACATATAGTGTCGGCTCCTAAAGACATCAATGAGACAATCAGTCATATAATCAAATCAATGGTCAAAAGATAATCACCAAAAGAGTTGATTCCATCACTCAATCAATTTAAATGATCGCCAAATGAGTGAAACAAACACACAATCAATAATTCAATACACGTATTCAACACATCAATTATGTCACCCAATCTTCAGGCCATCAAAACTTGCATTTCAATCCATTTTTTCGCAAAACTATTGCATTTTTTAATCAATTTGAGATACAATTTAACGACTAATGAAAATGAATGCTTGAAATGCATTCAAACCATTGATTCAATTCGTAAATGCATTTAAATAACACATAAAATGCATTGGATTTGCGGCCAAAAGTCTAGTTTGGGTCAACGTATATGATGTGTGGGCACAGAGTGTGTACTCCAATCGGCGCACACACTGTACTGCTTTAGCGAGGCTGCGAACGGTGTGCGCGTACAGTGAGTGCGTGTATGTCGCGCAGCGCTGTGTAGTGTTGCGAACGCATAGATCTGTTCAAACAAAAGGAGTGTTTGAATGCATTGAATGAGAAAATGGCGAACATTTCGGTCCACAAGAGGAAAGACGGCGGACCTAATCAACGATTCTTCGACTCCTCCGACACCATACAGGCCTTCGAGACCGTCAGACAATGGCTTCAGAAGAACTGCAAGAAAGTGAGTGAACACACAATCGCTGTCACTGTCTATCGCCGGATGAGTTGACCGGCATTTCTGTCTCCCCTTTTGACTCATTGTTTTCTGTCTCTCATGTCTTGATTTGATGTCTAATCTGTGATTTGTTGTGATTGTCAGTACATTCAAGCGGATCCGCCGACCAACAAGAGTCTGTCAGCTCTGGTGATCCAATTGATCCAATTCCAAGAGGACGCGTTCGGCCGAACGGTTGTCAAACCGCCGTTGACTCGACTCCCGATGAAGTGCTTTATGGACTTCAAAGGCGGCGGCGGTTTGTGTCGTATCTTTGAGTCGGTGTTCAAATTCAAGTCAGACCAGGGATGGCGTCGTTTCGACTTCTCTTCGCCCTCCCGTATGGACCGCAACGTCGAGATGTTTATGGGAATCGAGAAGTTCTTAGTGAACCACAAATGCTTTGTTGAGCCAAACGTTTTCTTCACTCCCGAAGTGGACAAACAATTAGTCCTCAAATTGAAGGACATTGTGAAGAGACATAAGGGACAGGTTGTCGAGAGTGCCGAAGAGGCCACACATTTAGTCCATCCGCCCATCGCTTCGAGCGGCGAATGCGACGATTGGATCCGTTTAGTGATGAGACGCGACAAATGCGCTCTTCTTCACTGGTGGCAAACGCCCGACAGCTATGATAATTGGGTGACAGGGGTTGACATCGACGTGGAGCCCGAGTCGCCTCATCCCAAGTCAGACCCCTATCAGGTGAACGCGCGATGGATTCTCGATTTGGATGAATATAATGAATGGATGAATGAAGAGGACTATGAAGTGGACGCCGACTCCCCCTCCAAACGCAAGTCTCCGCGCGGGAAGTATTCACTCGAAGAGCTGTTGACTTCGGATGAGAAACGCGATCGAAAAGCCGGCTCTTCTGTCAAAGGCAAGAGAAGACGCTCTCCTTCTCCGCCATTGGATAAGAAAAGGCGAGGAAAGGGAAGCGCCAGAAGTCCAGCGCCCGCTTCCACCAGTAAAAAGAAGTTATTCAGAGGTAATGATGAAGACTCTGAAGACTTAACTAAAGATATGGACGAACCATCGCCTGAGCCTAATCTACAGGAAGTAAGTCTTCCGAAGAGTACGCCTAACCCTCGAAGCAATAAAGACGAGTCATTGCCCATCAAAGGCGGCGCTCTTATCGATTTGGACATCAATGAGACCGAAGAGAAAATACCTCCAGAAGAGAGGAATGGCAACAATAAGACAGTCTCTCAGGCAATGTCTCCGAACTCGAGTCGAATGGCGAGTGAAAGACAGCCAAAAGATGATTCAGCGGACGATAACGTGACAGAACAGGCGAACCATATAATAATCCCATCGTATTCCTCGTGGTTTGACTACAACTGCATTCATGCGGTCGAGAGGAGAGGAATGCCTGAATTCTTTAACGGCCGAAACAAATCCAAATCACCCGAAGTGTATATCGCGTACAGAAATTTCATGATCGATACCTATCGGCTCAACCCAACAGAATATCTAACAGTGACTGCCGTTCGCCGTAATATCGCTGGCGATGTGTGCGCTATAATGAGAGTTCACGCCTTTCTTGAACAGTGGGGTCTCGTTAACTATCAGGTGGACGCCGATTCACGGCCCACACCAATGGGTCCGCCCTCTACCAGTCATTTTCATGTGTTGGTCGACACGCCGTCCGGCGTTCAGCCTCTAAACCCTCCGCGCGCTCCACAATCAGCCGCTTCTCAAATGCTGAACATGACGTCTAAGGATGGAGTGACCGATATTAAGATAGAGGCCGACAAAATGGGTGCTTCCGCTCTGAGCGACAACTTTGGTCTTAAGATGGATCAGTACGCCAAGAAAAACGCTTACTTTAAGAGCAAAGCGGCCGCCACTCTGTCTCGTGAGTGGACAGAACAGGAGACGCTTCTTCTTCTGGAGGGATTGGAGTTATATAAAGACGATTGGAATAAAGTGTGCGAACACGTCGGTAGCCGTACTCAAGACGAATGTATTTTGCATTTCCTTCGACTACCCATTGAAGACCCATATTTGGAGGACTCGGCCGGAGTTCTCGGACCACTCGCTTACCAACCGATTCCGTTCTCAAAGTCTGGAAACCCAATCATGTCTACCGTTGCGTTCTTGGCATCGGTTGTTGACCCACGAATCGCTTCTTCTGCCGCGAAGGCGGCAATGGATGAGTTCTCTAAGATTAAAGACGAGGTTCCGGTCGCTCTAATGGACGCCCACATTAAGAATGTTGAGGCGGCCGTCGCTTCTGACGGCAATATAGACCCCAAAGTGGGGCTTTCGATGACAGGAATTGCCGGCACAGCAGACAAAGAAGAAGAAGAACCCAAAGTCGAGAAAGAAGTTCCCGAAGACAAGGAAGTGAAGGAACCCAATGAAGCGAATTCGGCATCTGATAAGCCAACGCTTCCAACCGATGAGCCAATGGACACATCGAAACCAAGTGAAGACAAACAGAGTACTAATGACGAAGAGAGCGCTGCGGCCGACACTGAAAAGACTGTCTCAGAGGCCATAAAGTCTGAGCCCAACAAAGAAGAGGCCGAGAAAGATAAGAATGTAAAGGAATCTCAGATATCGATCGCAGCGGCGGCTGCTTTAGGTTCGGCTGCAGTCAAAGCCAAACATTTAGCGGCCGTTGAGGAGAGAAAAATTAAGTCTTTAGTGGCTCTTCTGGTCGAGACTCAGATGAAGAAATTGGAGATAAAACTGAGACATTTCGAAGAATTGGAAGCCATTATGGATCGCGAACGAGAAACTGTAAATATATTTGTTTTAAAACTAAATGCTTTAATAATGAATTGTATATTAATTTATATGATTTTGAACGACAGCTCGAATATCAAAGACAACAACTGATGCAAGAACGACAACAGTTCCATATGGAACAGCTTCGGGCGGCAGAGTTCAGGGCCCGACAACAGGCACACGCCATGTTTGCATCACAACAGGGAACGCAACCGACACCGGCTCTCAATCAAACCGCGCCAGAAGTGGACGCACTACAAGGTTCGCAACGAACTGTTCCACCGGTCGCCCCATCGGCCGCACCTATTATTAGACCCCCGCCTCCCATGGCGTACAATCAATGGCAGAGACCGCAGATTTCGGCGCCGCAGCAAATGCCACAACCGATTCAACAGCAATCACAACCGCCGCCACAACAATCACCACTACATCAGGCAATCTTAGGTCCGCAAACGCATACACTGGTCGGCCAACCATCTCATTCTCCGGCGCCAACGCAACAGCCAATGCCACCAGTCATTCAAAATCGGGCGCCACTTTCGCAACAAGTATTTCCACAATCCAATCAATTCGCTCCCAATCTATTAAACACTCAACCAATTTATGAACAAAAACCTCAAATGATTTCCCCGCAGCCAATGCCGCCCACATCCCAACCCCTCTCCCAACCCACACCACCGCCGCAACCCATTCAACAGCTGCCGCCACCACTCCCTCCGCAACAGTTATCACAACCTTCTTTGCATCAACTCTCACAACCTTCACAGCCTTCTGCCCAACAACTTCCACAACAGTTACCACAACCCCCTCAACAGTTACCACAACCCCCTCAACAGTTACCACATCCCTCTTTGCAACAGCTGTCACAGCCTCCGACCCAACTATTATCACAACCTCCACCCCCTCAACAACAACCACAACCCTTACCCCCTCAACAACAGCCCCAACATTTATCTCCACAACAGCAGCCCCAGCACTTACCCCCTCAACAGCAACCCCAACACTTACCCCCTCAACAGCAACCCCAACACTTACCCCCTCAACAGCAACCCCAACACTTACCCCCTCAACAGCCCCAGCATTTATCCCCTCAACAGCAACCCCAACACTTGTCCCCTCAACAGCAGTCCCAGCACTTACCACCTCAACAACAACCCCAACATTTACCCCCTCAGCAACAGCCACAGTCCCAACTCTTACCCCCTCAACAACAAGTACAGGCACCGCCCCCTCAGCATTTGCCCCCACAACACCATTTTCAACAACTTTCGCAGCCCCCGGCGCAACAATTACACCCCCTTTCGCAGCAATTATCGCAACCCCCCTCTCAGCATATGCCGCAACCTCTTTCTCAACCCCTATCACAAGCGCTGTCTCAGCCTCTTTCGCAGCCTCTATTGCAACCTCTGTCTCAACCCGTTTCTCAGCCTCTATCGCAACCTCTATCGCAGCCACTTTCGCAATCTATACCCCAATCGCAAGCTTCTGCTGTTCCGCCACCACTACCACTACCGCCACACGTATCTCAAGCGCCAGTATCTCAACCAATGCAGGCTTTGCCACATATGGCACCTCCAATGCCTCAGTCTTCTCCTCCAATGACATCTCAAGTGCCACAACTATCACCCGTTAATCAGTTCGCACCACAACCTCGTGAGTGACCCATTATTGTTGATAAAAATGACACCAAAACTAGTTTTAGTGCCGAAGCTTTGCTTAGAATCACATTTTGCTTATTATCAAACTTTTTCTTCTTCTGCACCACTGCTGCCAATAAAAGGATAGAATTCACCCTTCGATTCGGTCGTGACTTTTGCTGCGGTCTTTCGATCTCTGCTTTCACTGCATTTCATTTCCAACACTTGATTCCTCTTTATAATTGCCTTTAAATCTAAATATTTGGTTTTGGTATTAATTGTATTGCATTGACAGCCATAGGCGTACAGCCGGGACCACAACAGGGACAGCTCCAACCTGTGATGGGTGACCAGAACACACTAATGGCGCCGCATATTCCACCGCAAGCACAACCTGTGCCACCCCATGCCGTACATCCCAGTCCTATGTCCCATGTGATGCCCCCGAACGCCGTACCCCCACAACCGCCCACCGGTTAGTACTCCAACTCAAACCAATTCAAACTCTGTTTACATTGATTTGTATTTCCATTTCAGGCGTTTGTGAGTCTAATAGAGAGGAAACTCCAAACATGTAAACATTATTTGGCTTCAAATTTAATATTTTCTTCTATTTCTTTTAAATTATTATTTAATACAACTGTTTATATAATTGAATGACCGGTACTTTTAGTTAATTTCGTTGTCACTTAAATTTATTCATAAATAAATCATTTCTTCACTTTTAAACACTTCTCTTCATTGGTTTTGTCGATCAAATTATTATCAATTATTTTACAATTGATGGCAAAACCCCTTTACTTATCATTATATATGCATTATTTACTGTATATTTTACTAAATTATACTTTTATTTAAATATTTCTTTTTGAGTGCAAAAGCAATAAATAGTTTTCAACAAAATTGTAGTTCAAATCCATTGTTTTGTTTTATTCTCGCCTTTAATTGCTGTCAAAATAGTGCTAAACCTGTATTGCAATTGAAATGACAATTGAAATGGGATTGCATAGCGAGTGATGGGATGCCATCACATGATGTGTTTAGGATCATAAGCGAGAGTTTGCTCCGAAATACTCGTTCACTACAACTGTATAACTGCAGGCATAGCGAGAGTACAGTAATCTCGACACAGACTGCGACGTACTGTACGTCTCAGTCATTCACACTTCACTCGTGATTGTAATCAATGTTTTGGTGTTTTGTTTCGTCCAAAACATTGGCTGAGAAAGAGATGTGAGAAGTGTTGCGGACGACAGTTAAGTATCGGTTGTTGTGGCGGACGATGACCTCAAGCACGTGGACTCAAACCATCGAAATCGGTACCAAACGGCTGTCAAAGAGTCAGAAACGCTTTCAAACCATGAATTTGAATAAATGTGTTAAAAATCACTTCAATTCAAGCAATGGTAACACCAATGGAGTGAGTATTGTGTGTATTGTGTGCACAGTATGTGTGGTGTGTGTGCTATGAATGCCAGACTAATTGCCATTCAATGCATTGATTAGCAATCATTAGCTAATGATTAACCAAACACTGCATTCAATGTTTAGATTTTGGTTTGTTATGAGACAAACAGCTGATACACAGCCCTGTATTGAGACATATAGTGGTAGACATGTATGGGTTAGTGAATGCGTGAACGCAATGCAGTACAGCAGCGCCTATAAAGCAGTCGACAGAGACTTAGAGACAGTGAGAGAGTGAGTGTTTGCTGTGTTTGCAGTCATTGTTGTCTTGTATTGAGTTGTATTGAGTGCTCGTCTCCTCTCATATACAACCAAAACAAAGACATCGGATGTCATGTCTGGATGTCTGCGCTTGTGATCACCTGTAATGACAAACATTAACAATACCATGAAATGTGTCACTTGTCTCACATCCAAGACTAACAAATCTAAGAAATCAAAGGTTTATAAACTATTATATGTTTTAACAATATATTGTCGATTGAAGTGATAATCAAAAGTGTTTTGTTTGTGTGAATGTAGTCTCAAATGAATGTCAAATCCGATTCAAACGCCTATTGCTATCGATATGTGAATCAAATTGATTTGAATCACACATACAATGCATTCAATGCTAATTGTATGCATCGCTTTCATTTAGGCTCTACTGTACGTCCATTGCATTCATTGATTATGTCATGTCTTATCTCTCATCCCATTAACCCATTGATTGCCACACATATTGATTGAGACAATAGACACCTGAAGTGGTGTCCACATTGTCATCGGGGTATAGGTTTGGGAGCCCTTCCACCCAATTATTGTCACCCTTTAAACACTATTCCTCTATTTTGACACCACTTTAAACCAATATTTTTATTAATTTATTGTTTGCTAACAATAATCACTTAAATTGTTTGTCAATTGCTATTAATATAATTAATTGTCATTAAATGAAAACTATTATAATTAATAATAAATTAAAACTATTAAAAGGCTTAAGACTTTAAAATATAATAAAAGACGCATAAAGTACGCGACGAGAGGAGGGGTTGTTTAGGAGGGGAGTGGAGAGGGATGTGATGAAGAGGTGCTGAAGATGTGATTAAAATGATATCATTTTTCTCTCTCTCATCCATGAAATAGATATTCAAAGTGAACGTCAATATAGAAGACGAGTCATTGATAAACAAAAAACTACCAAAAGAGCTGTTATTGCGGATCTTCTCCTACTTGGATGTGGTCTCTCTGTGCCGTTGCGCTCAAGTCTCAAAGGTTTTCATAACGGTTTCACTGTTAATGTTGTCACTTATATAATGATATGATATGGGAAACAGAGTTGGAATGTGTTGGCATTGGACGGAAGCAATTGGCAAAGAGTCGATTTGTTTGACTTCCAGACCGACATCGAGGGACCGGTGGTGGAGAATATATCGCGCCGTTGCGGCGGTTTTCTCAAACGGCTGAGTCTTAGGGGCTGTAAGAGTGTGACTGACGGCGCTCTGCGAACCTTTGCTCAAAACTGCAATAACATCGAAGAACTCAATCTCAATGACTGCAAAAAACTAACCGATATGTAAGACAATGTCAACGAATATGATGTGAATATTGTTTCATACGGTTCTGTCTCTCTGTATGTGCAGAACGTGTCAGAATCTGAGCGTCCAGTGCTCTAAGTTATTGCACTTAAATCTTGGCTCTTGTAGTGAAATCACTGACCTCTCACTCAAAGCTCTCGGGTATGGATGCGATGATGAGATTGATTGACTCATTGATGATAATGTGTTGTATATACTGTTGTTTGCAGTGAGGGGTGCATCGGTTTAGAGCACATCAACCTCTCGTGGTGTGAACAGGTGACCAAATATGGCATCCAACAGATGGCCGGCGGCTGTACCAGAATTAGTGCCTTTATTAGTAAAATGTGTCCTCTGGTGAACGACGAGGCAGTGATAGCATTGGCCAACAATTGTCATAACTTACGATTGCTTAACCTTCACGGCTGTTCCGCCATCAGTGATGACAGCATTCAGAGGATCGCACAAAACTGTCCAAATATGCATTACTTATGTGTTTCCAACTGTTCTAACCTAACGGATGCCTCATTGATAGCGTTAGGACAGGGATGTCATGCACTTAAGATTCTGGAAGTGTCCGGTTGTAATCAGTTCACAGACACTGGCTTTCAGTCTTTGACCCGAAATTGTCACTCAATCGAAAAGTTAGATCTCGAAGAATGTGTTCTCATCACTGATTCGACTCTATCTTACTTATCGGTCGGCTGTCCTCTACTCGAGAAATTGGTTTGCATTTGATTTACGAAAAAACTTCCAATTTATGAATTGTTTTATTCCAGAGCCTCTCTCACTGCGAACTCATCACTGATGAGGGGATCAGGCATTTAGGCACCAGTGCCTGCTCTTCACAGCACTTATCTGTATTGGAATTGGATAACTGCCCCTTAATTACAGACACATCACTCGATCATCTGATTACTTGTCATAGTCTGCAACGAATTGAGTTATACGACTGTCAACTCATCACCAGAGCTGGCATTAGAAGACTAAGAGTTTGTCTTTCCTTATTAATTAAGAGGACGACTGTTGGCACACATTATTTTACTATTTATTTAGGCATTCTATGATTACTCAATTAGAAATTGCTTTTATCACAAATACTAATTTAGGACTAGATGTAAATGCAAATATTAGTTTTGATTTTGATAGCCAAACATTTTTATTTAAAATTTATAATTTTATTATTAATTTTCCTAAAGTTTAGTCATAGCGTGAAATACATAGAATGACAGATACTATCGATAATTAAAACTCTTTTTCTTATGAGACGATGAAATCTAGTTGTTTAACGAAAAACAATCATTTCTACAGTCGTTCGCCAATTATAATGAATGTGAGAGTAGAGACATTGTATTGATTGATACGATTATTGTGATTACAGAACCACTTGCCTGACCTCAAAGTCCACGCCTACTTCGCACCGGTCACTCCACCTCCGTCTGTGACCCCCCGGCCGCGATACTGTCGGTGTTGTGTTATTTTATGATTGATTTAATACTAAATTTGTTTTTATTGTTTATTATATTTTAACGGTAAATAATATTTGAATATATATTTAATTTAAAACAATTACTTTGAAAAAAGCACATAAAAACAAAAAATACCAAATCTTCCAAAGATTTGACAGACTTTTGGTTCAGTCGTTAATAAGTTATATATATTTAAGAAATAAAGTGTTTAGGAATCAAATTCCTTTTGTCGGATCATTTGTCGTCATTAACACAACATTACTTCCAATTGAATACTATTTGGCTTTCATTATAACAATCATTTATATATAGATGTATTCATACGAACACAACAAATATCTAAAAAAATAATGTCTAAACGCTTATTGTTTTCTACTGTTATAAAACTTATATTGAGATTTAATTATTATTCAGATATTTATGATTAGCTGTAAATTGGATTTGCATTTATATATGTATTAAAAGAATTATTTAAATTATATACACTTTATTTCTATTTAAATCCATTTATTATAAATAATTTTAATTTTCTTTATTTGCAACATTTTTGGATGCAATGAAATAGACATTAAATAAAAGCACAGAATAAACATCTATTTATAATTTGTTGACGTGTATATAAACAATGAATATGGTTAATATTCTTGTTTACATCATTTAATGTGAACAATGTCTAGGAATTGAATATAAAAGTCAATACCAAAACTGAATGCATAGAATTGGTTGATTGAATCCAATGTACAGAATCTTCAAATACATAGCTTTTATATCGGATTCAAAATACTTGATGTCGACTCTGGTCTCAAAAGTGGCGACTCGTGAACGCATTCTTACTGTTATATACATTTAATGAAGAAAAGAGAAATCAATTTTAATTTGAATTTTATTGTTTGTTATTTATAAGTTTTTTATTTATTGAGATTAATTTCATATATCATTATTTTAATATGAAATAAATTATACAACATATTATTAGTTTTATTTCTAAAAATATAATATTCTTGATTCATTTTGGATACATATTGATATACATACAATAATAAATAGTCTAATGATAATTAAACTTGGTTATTTATGATGCTAACTTTAATGGAAAAGTTAATATACAACATTAAACAGTATATAAATCAAGAATAATGTATAATATTTACTTAATAATGATCAGTTTAATGGAAATTTGTAACATTAGCTAAAATCATAGTTTCTTTTAAATATGTGTTTAATTTAACTAAAACCCCAAAAATCTTGATTTTTAAAACCAGTTTTAATGATTACAAAATTTAATAACTTTAAGATTAAAAGTACATAAATTGAGACAAATTGTTATAAATTGAAGAATTTATTGATATGTGATATAATAGTTAACTGTAGAGTGGAGATGAAATCATACAAACTACCAATAATTGAATAATATTTTCATCCAAATTGTAACAAAATTTTTCATATAATTTATATTTTTAGTGAAATAAATAGATTTTTAAAATAAATAGAAATGTTGTTAACATGTGTAACAATCAACTGATTTTAGTTTGAGAGGAATTATAAAAATGATTTGGAAAATAATGATTTGGAGAATATTAGACAAATAATAAGCATAAATATATTTATAGTGTTTGCAAATGTTGTGCAGAATTGAGATATACTGTAGATCTTTAACGAGTTTTGATGTAACAGTTACTGCCTTTTCAAAAGAAATCAATATAATAGGGAAATACAGTGTATGGATGTGTGCAATGAATGCAGTGAACACAACATATAGACGCCTCCCAATGGCTATGGCTATGGCTATGGAGTGTATTATCATTTCTCCTCCCAAAATACTTTGCGGAGCATTTGATGGGAAGAAAGTGTAACCGTTGTATCGGTTGCCGGTTTGCGGGAACAGTATGTTAAGTATGTCCTCTTTGATGGTCTGTTAAGTAAGGCAATCAGGAAAGTGTAGCCCCCGTATGACTGTGTGTGTTGTGCCGTAATATACGCTTCGTTAGGCCTGTTGTCGCGTAACTGCTCTGAGTTGACAATAAATTGGTTTATGTAAATGCACGGCAAGATTGCTCTGAGCTCTTCTCCAACGCATCAATTTATGCAGTCATATGTCTACCACTCCTGAGACCCCAAAAAGCCGTAGCATTTGATACAACAGATTATAAATCAAGACAGGGATGCGGTTTTCATATCATATTCAACGCATACTTTGCTTACAATATAAGAATAAATTGAAAGATTTATGCAGATTCTCAACATTACATGCGAGCGCTTCTCGTCAGCACTCTTTCCACTCTTTACTCTTTATACTGTAAAAGTATATCAGATATTAGTAAAGGTATCACTTCTTCACTCAAATATTCAATATTTTATCAATTTTTCACTCAAAACTACAATTTTGAATAACAAATCATCTCTTATTTTGAATACAAGTGTCTGGAAATTGAATATATTTTGGATATAAGATTTAAATAAACTTTAAATTTGATTCAAAATCCAAAATTACTATTTTAAGCATTAATATTAATTTTCAATATTTTTTTCTTATCATTAATTAAACCATATTTTGAATCGACATATAATAAGAATTGAATTATATATTAAGAATTGGATAATTAATTTATTTGACAAACCTATTACACCATAATTTACATCATTATAACTGTATCTCAAAATATATTACCATAAGCGCTATTGTTTAAAATATTTTAGTTTTAATGAGTCCATTTTTAGTATCCAAAATTATAAATATTATTTAAAGATTATGATAAATTATATTGATAATATTAGTTATCGTATAATGAATAACTAATATCTAAGACAAAATTAAAACCCAATTTTTGTCAAATAAATTATATAGAGATCTTTCATGTATTCTTTAGGCCAATAGAAGATGTATTCGTACACTGAATATAAAGAGTCAATAACAATGTCCTTAGAGTTTAGCTAATTATAAAACACTTGAAGTCTTTGAAACACACATTTTCAATGAACTTAATTGTCATTGTTTTGGGAAATTTCTAATTTAATATTCATGTGAATAATTAAGAGTAAACTATATTTTGGAAAATATATTATAATATAAATATGAATTTGATTTGCTTTCAAACAATTGATAATTAAGAGTCGAAGGAATAACATTTCAAATGAATCGTTCATTCAAGGGATGATAAAAAGCAAAATTATATTTGATTTGGAAAATACATTAAGAAATGATAAAATAAATTGAAAATGATTCTGTATTAATAAAATGTAAATATAAAGTAAAGTGAGATAAATGAAAGTTCATTGCAATCAAAGAAGTGATTGTCTTATTCTTGAAGTTCTGGTTATTGTTATTATTATTGAGTTGATTGAAGTCAAAGTCAAATGATTGCCTCAATATTACGAATCATTTGTTTTGACATTTCTTTTCTGTTAACTCTTATAAGAAAATAAAAAGATTTGATCGCAAGAGTAATAATGGCTTATTTGGTGCAATTCGTCCGAAGGGAAACATCTCATCACAATTGTTAACTCAAATGGCAATACATTTATGATATTTGAGTTTGAGTTAAGCAAACGGTGCTTACGTTTGACTGATTCGCTCCCTTATAGACGATAGTCGAGAGAAAGCATTGAATTCGTGACAAGAATTCAATCAATATATTAAAGGCAATCACATATTCTGTTGCAACGAAAGCAAACTCTTTTCAAGTTTAGGCTGTATTAAGACTCAGTTAGAGAGACGATAGCATCACTGCCTTCAATACTATCACTGGCAGCACAACCATCACAACCATCACTGGAATTACTGTTGTATTTTCTGTCATTTCACTAACATTTCACCCATCGATGAAATGCCTTTCGCTTTGCGCTCAACAGACCATACAATTGTCTTGACTGCCATCGGCTATAGAGATAATTTGTACCATTGCTGGCATGTCTTCACTGCCTTCTTTTGCCTCCAATGTGTTCACTGCGGGCGATGGCATCAGTGAGGCTGAGCCGACTCCGGTTGGGTTTAGCACAACATATTTAATGTAATTTTCTAATTGCTTCAAACAAGATATCGATTGGAGATGATTGTGGAAACTGTGGCGTAAATACTAACTTACGTTTGGGAGTTGGGCTCCAGGGATGACACAATGGGGCCACTAAACGAAGGCCAATCAACATCTACTCATGTACTCACTCAATGAAGTCTCTCTCTCTCTCTCTCTCTCTCTCTCTCTCTCTCTC